TCATCCCGACAGCTGGCACCTGGGGACAACGGCTGCAGGGCTGGGCTCTGAGTGTCACCAGAGGAGCATCTGCACTGGCCTTGGGAGCGTCGCTCATCTACGGAGGGCAGACTCCTTCTGTGATGGCTCAGGGTGCCCGAGAGGCCATTTCAAGGGACAAGAGGTGAAGCTGTCCCCGCCCTCTGCCCCCGCATCCCACTGCCTCATCGGGTCCATGCAACGAGCGTTCTGAGTGCCCAGGATTGTGCTCAGCACTGAGAAGAATTACATACAAAGAAGGACCAGGCAGGGCCTGCCTTGCAGAGGCCTCATAACCTGGCATGGAACGTCCTGCCACACATACCCACGGTGACAGGCACACCATTGCGTCCTTTACTTAAACATCGTCTTCTGTAGGAAGAAACCTGGAGAATGAGGAGGAGACGACGTCTGTCCCTCAACAAAAAACACACCCTTGTTGGGGTTACTCTGTGCCTGGCACAGTGCCAGCCGCGGGGCAGGAAGACGGGGCTGAGCCACCCTGGGGCTCCCTGGGCTGGAGCCGGTTGGGTGCTGGGTGTTCGTTCTCCCCACGCTGCCCCTGGGCTTCGTGAGCATCTCCGAGGAGCCAGGGTTCGGCTGCCTGTCCAGTTGAGGCTTCCCTGTCCCCAGGACACTGCGGGAGGGGCCGGTCCATCAGGACTGATGAACTGTTCTAATGGAATGAACCAGTTAAGCTGGAATTTAGCCCAGGTGGGAGGAATGGAGATGGAGCCATGCTGAGTGCTGAGTCTCGCCAGCTGGGCCTGAGCTAAGGTACCTGTGTGCGCTCTGGACGTAGGCTGGGTCTCTACCCCGGCAGCCCTGAGCAAGGAGGGCTCTGGGGCCACCTAGCTGGCCCTGGCCCTGTGACTCCCATGAACCAGAGGCCACGGTCCCGTGTCACTCACTGCCCTTGGCCCGATCCCAGGCGCTCACTGCTGCTCCAGGGCCTGAAACCTCTCACGGAGAACGTGCCTGGGAGCAGGCACTCGGGCCCCTGACAGCCCTTGGTTCCAAGTCCACGCTTTACAAGGCTCTGAGTCCTGGCCAGGCCCGAGTGTGTGGCCTGCACCCTTCTGGTCCTTTCCCTTCAAGAGTTGGGCCATCAAGGCCATCTCTGGAGCTCCCCAGAGCCCCAAATGCACCTTCACTAGGGTTTTCACAGCCACCAAACCCTGCCTTCAGCCTGTGCAGAGCCGTTCAGCTGACCTCCACGGGGCCATGGGCTGTGCTCCACGCTGGTCCTCCCCAGACCCGGCCTGGGAAGGCTCTCAGCATTTGGGTTGGAGCCTGTGTGTCTCTGCGGGCTTTGGGGGGGGGGGGCAGGGGCGGGGTTAAATCAACCGATAAGCAATCTGGAGGCCTGCAGCCTCCTCTCACCCTTCCTTCCCTTCTCCTTCCACGAGGGGAAAGGCCCTATGCCCTCCCCTCAGTGCTGATGGCTGATAAAGTAACTCAATTAACTGGGCTGGGAGCAGGGCAGGCCGGGAAAGGACACTGGCTCCTTGACCCGGACCTGAGGGAGAAGGGGGTGGCTCCTGGCAGAGCTCCAATGCCAATGGGGGGCGGGGGGGGGCATGAGTACCAATGGACATGACCTTGCCTTGGCAGATGGGACCTGCTTCTCGGCCTGGAGCCCCTCGAAACAAGCAGAGCCCAAAGAAGAGATTGGATGGCTCCTGTCACCGGAAGCAGCCGAGCCCCACGCCGGCGGGATCCGCTCAGCTCTGAGAGCCAGGGCCTGGGCTGGTGGGTTCCAGAAACGCTGCAGGTGCTGACAAGCCCCATCAGTGTCACCCGGGAGCCAAACCCCGTTTCCCTAGTCGTTGGCCACGCTTTCACTCCTGGTGAGGGAGGCCCTGGCTGGCACTTCCGCCTGAACTGGCTCCTAGACAGACGTTCCTTCCTGACCGCCGAAGACAGCCAGCACCAGGGGGCAAGGGTGGAGGAACGGGGGTGATGGAGGGAGAGGAACACAGGTTTAGGAACGTCCAACTTGACTGCGTCGCAGGCTTGCTCACGCCTGTCAGTTACCAAGGTCTTGGAGGAATGGAAAGGGGAGGGAGCAGGGAGTTATGCTGCCAGAGCTGCATGAGGTGCTGGGATTGACAGGAAATCCAGAATCAGGGGTCACCCCGGGCCTTTTAGCCCCTTTTTCTCACCACCACAGCCCCCAGCTGCTGTGAGGTCTGGCGCAGGGTCTCCTAGCACCACGAGGGGGCAGCACCCACCCACCCACAGTAGACATGCAGGGCAGGCAGGCAGGGGGCTCTCCTCCCTCCCTGGGTTCTGGGCTTTGGGGAAATAGCATGACCTCATACACACACAACTGATGGGGGACAAGCCCTGTGATGCCAACTGCGGCACACTCAGTCCCCCAGAAAATTCCAGCAAGGCCCAGTAACAGGGTAGCCCAGAGCTGCAGCATAAAACCTTTAGCAAATGATGAGGCCTTCTCTGCAGGCCCGTGACGTGAGGCTGAGCTCCCCAGTCCAGCCAGAAGCTCATCAGTGCACCGAGTCAGGGGGCCTCCCACCCAGGGCACCTCTTCCCGCTGTGCCTCCCAGGCGGGGCCTTCGGATTTCCTTGGCTCTCCCAGGGTTCCCTTACCTCAACCCCAGCGTCTGACCTCCCCTCTTCCTCTCCTTCTCCCCGGGGGGCAGCTTTCTCCCTCCACCCGTCTCCCCACTTGCCACCGTCTCGGAGGAATGGAACACCATCTGCAAACACCGCAGAATGCACGCTCCAAGAGGCAGAGGTTTAGCAGGGCAAGTATTGGGGGACCTTTGTTTTATTGGAACAGCTTCGGGCACACAGTAGGCACTCAAGAAATGCTAATTGAATGAGCAAATGACACAGGAGTAGGATGGGCTTTCACCGCTCCTTCTGGGGTGACGGAGTTCAGGCAGCGTGAAGACAGGGCGTGGGGGAGAGGTGCCCAGCCAGATAGGACTTCACAGCCATGCATCGCGGTCGGTTCACTCCCTTCCTCGTTGACTCTTCCTTCCGCACTCCGGCTTCTGGCCAGGCCCGGGTCTTCTCTTCCCAGTCACATGTGGGGGTTTTCTTTTTTGCCGCAGCAAACTCAGAGGCAGCTGAGCTCTCAAATGCGGACATCACGCCCAAGGGGTGGGGGGACCAGATGTAAAAGGGGTGCCAGTGAATGTGTGTTTCTGACTACAGTCCAGATGGTACCCACCTCCTCTGCATATCAGTAGATCATCAAAGATCATTGTCATTTTGGTTTTCTGACTTCATTCTTTTGTTAAAAAATATATATATATATTTTTTATTGATTTCAGAAAGGAAGGGAGAGGGAGAGAAAGGGAGAAACATCAATGATGAGAATCATCGATCGGCTGCCTCCTGCACACCCCCCACTGGGGATTGAGCCCACAACCCGGGCATGTGCCCCGACTGGGAACCGAACCCTGACCTCCTGGTTCATAGGTTGATGTTCAACCCCTGAGCCACGCTGGCTGAGCTCTGCCTTCATTCTTTATTTTTCTTTCTTTCCTGATTTCATTCCTAATGAGACTTTTGCTTAGAAGAACCCCTTGAACTTGCACTGGGCTCTTGCCTTTTCCTCGGCCCTCGTCTTGGTTGTCCCAGGAGAGCCAGGCACTCCTGACCTGGAGATGGGACGGTGCACAGGTGTCTAGGGCAGGTGCGTCCGTCACTTGCATTTCTGCCTTAAGATCCTCCTTACGTCATCCAGGCGGATATAGAAAGGCTGCCTGAAACTGCTTTAAAAACAAAAAGAGGCTTAATTTCAAGATTAAGAAGTTCTGGACCTAAAAACAAATGAATCTGGGAATTGCTGTTGGGATGAGGCCAGTCAAAGCTGTTGGTGCCCAACGTTTTGGGCATGGCAGCTTCGCAGTCACTTAGCAAACAAGTTCTCAGGCGCGGGCGCTGGGGGAGCGCCCGCCTGGGGAGCTCAGGGTGGGGAGGGGAGAAGACATAACAAAGGGCGAAGTCACACTGCAAGGCTTGAAACCAGAGCAGAACCAGGAGGGGGTCCCAGGCAGGGCCGCACCTCCTGCGTGTCCCCAGGCAACGGTGAGCCAGGCTTAATCGTCGTTCAGGCCCACCCATGCCAGGAGCCCGAGGGGTCACCCGTACCACCAGGGCGGCTTTGGCGAGTGTGACAGGCCCCGTGAGCGTCAGGACCGCGGACATCTCGGGCCTGGCCGGCGCAGGATGCGGGCGGGGTGGTCAGGAGGCCCCAGCACGGAGTCTGGAGCGGGAGGGGGCTGCCTCCTCCTCCGCGCACCTTCCCTCCGCTCGCTCGCTCCCCCGCCTCCGGCCGGCCGCCAGGAAGCCGCCACGATGCGACCAGCCGGGCGGGGAGGGGGCGAGCGGAGGTGAGAGGTCAGGGGTGAAGCGCGCTCCGCGGTCACCGGGGCTGCAGTGGGAGGAGCTGCGGGCTCGGGGAGAGGGGAGCGGGGCGGAGGGGCGGAGGGGCGGGTGGCGGAGGCGCGCAGGGTGGCGCGCTCGGCTGGGCGCCGGTGGCGAGAGGGTGACGCGCCTCGGTGGGGCTCGGCTCGCGGAGAGAGGCGGAGATCCGGGCCGCCGGGGCCCTGCAGCGACCGGGTCGGCCCCGCGCCGCGCCGCGCCCACCCCGCCCCGCGGAGGGCGCGCCCGTGCGAGGCGGGGCCGAGAGGAAAAGGCGCCACCGGAGAGTGGTGTCCGCTGGCCTGGCTGGGCGGAGGCGAGGAGCCCCTGGACCTCCAGACCCCGGCCCCCCCTCCCCTCGCCTCGGGTTACCTCTCGTCCGCCCCCTGCCGCCGCGAGCCAAGGCCGGCGCCCCGCCCGGAGATGGGCCGACGCGTGGATGGCGCGGCTCCCAGCGCCGCCAGATCGCAGGAGCCGGGCGCCGGGGCGCTGCGCTGAGGCTCCCGCTCGGCGCAGCCCGGAAAGCCTGCAGGTGTCCTTGGCCGCCCGGGAGACTCCTCCGCCGGCGCCTAGCGCCCCGCTCCCCGGAGCATCCCCGCCCCCCGGGATCGGCGCCGCGCAGGACGCCCCGTCCGAGGCCCCCTCTGCCCCGGCGCCGCTCCCGGCCGCCGCCGCCCGGCGGACGCAGGGCCGGAGGCTCGCTCCTGCGGGCGCGCTTGTTTTCCTGCCGCCGCCTCGCCCTGCGCAGCCCCCGCCCGCCAGATCGCCGCTCCCCGCGCGGCCCCGCCCGCCCTCGGTGCCCGGCGCCGGATTTATGAATGGGGGGAAGAGGCCACATGCCGCCGCCGCCGCCCCGTGTTGACCGCGCGGAGCCCGGACCCGAGGAGCCCCGGCTGCCGTGAGAGCGTCGGCCCGGCCCCGGAGGACTTGTTGCTGCTGCGCTGCCGCCGCCGCGGGGAAGCCGCCGCTGCCGGGCTCGGTGCGGCCCGAGAGCCGGGGGCGGCCCGAGTGAGTGAGCGCGCGCCCGGAGCCTCGCGGTGCGCCCGGCGGTGCGCCTCCTGGTCTTTGGCGGGTGGTGTCCGGGCGAGTGTCTGAGTGTCCGGTCCTCGCGGGGGAGTGTGTGTGTGCTTGCCCTGCTCTCCCGCACCCCGGCCCCTCGCTGGGGTTCTTGGTTCTCCGTCCCCCCCCCCCCCCGCCTCCCTCCCCGGCGCTGCGTGCCCAAACCCCAACCACCTGTGCACCCGAGAAACCCAACTCCTCCCGCTCGGCGCCCCGGGGGGAGACGGGGGCAGGGCCACGCCGCAGAGGGGGCCGCTGCCGCCTCCTGCCTCCTCGCCGTCTCCTCCCCGCCCCGGTCTGACGCTGCCTCCTCGGGAAGGGTGTTTGGAGGGCAGCGGCCGCCCCAAGCCGAAGCCCCGCAGCGCTTCTTATGATCAGCTCGGTGTGTGTCTCCTCCTACCGCGGGCGCAAGTCGGGGAACAAGCCTCCATCCAAAACATGTCTGAAGGAGGAGATGGCCAAGGGCGAGGCGTCGGAGAAGATCATCATCAACGTGGGCGGCACGCGACATGAGACCTACCGCAGCACCCTGCGCACCCTCCCGGGCACCCGGCTCGCCTGGCTGGCCGACCCGGACGGCGGGGGCGGCCGGCCCGAGTCCGATGGCGGCGGCGCGGGCAGCAGTGGCAGTAGCGGCGGCGGCGGCGGCGGGGGCTGCGAGTTCTTCTTCGATCGGCACCCGGGCGTCTTCGCGTACGTGCTCAACTACTACCGCACCGGCAAGCTGCACTGCCCCGCCGACGTGTGCGGGCCGCTCTTCGAGGAGGAGCTCACCTTCTGGGGCATCGACGAGACCGACGTGGAGCCCTGCTGCTGGATGACCTACCGGCAGCACCGCGACGCCGAGGAGGCGCTCGACATCTTCGAGAACCCGGACGGAGGCGGCGGCGCGGGGCCGGGTGACGAGGCCGGCGACGAGGAGCGAGAGCTGGCCCTGCAGCGCCTGGGGCCCCACGAGGGCGGCGCGGGCTCCGGCGCCGGGTCCGGGGGCTGCCGCGGCTGGCAGCCCCGCATGTGGGCACTCTTCGAGGATCCCTACTCCTCCAGGGCGGCCAGGGTGAGTGGCAGGAGCCTGGGCCATGGCTCAGGTCTGCAAGGAGGCGCGTGGTGGTGGTGGGTAGGGGCAGGGAGGAGCCTGGCCCCAAATGACTTACCTTTCCCTGCTTCCCTCCCAATTCCCTCTGCCTTCCATGGGCCCCAGGGATCTCTCTCTCTCTCTCTCTCTCTCTCTCTCTCTCTCTCTCTCTCTCTCTCTCACACACACACACACACACCCTCTCCCCTGCATGCCTCCTCATGAAATTGCACACACTTGACTTCTTGGACCAGCCTGCTTTACTGCACCCGCTCCCGGCCAGTGGGGGGCCCTTAGCTGAGCTCTTCCAGCCCCTGGGGAAGACAGGCCCCTTTTCTTCTTCTCGCCACCCCTCTACAGGGTCAGAGTCCTGGAGAGCCCACTGAGGCCTTCTGCTGGGGTCAGGCAGGGTTTAGGGAAGCAAGAGTGCCAAGCGCCTACTCTGTGTGGCAGCCCCGAGATGCGCTGCCTCCATGGGCCCCTCATTTCAGCCCTCCAGCATCTCAGTGCTGGGAGCTGGAGTTTCAGAGAGGTGGGCGCCGGCTTCGGCCTCTAATGCTCATAAAGGCCGAGCTGGGACCAGAACTCATGCCTGTGGTCCGGGTTTGGGAGAGGCCTCTTTTCAGGGTGACAAGGTGCCTGCCCCATCCATGCCCCTGAGGCTTCTTGCGCGCCTGGGATGTGCTGGGGTGAGCGAGAGTTAGACAGGAAGGTGCCTGACGTCTGGGCCCTGCAGGCTCCCAGGCCAGTGGCCAGCGCAGGCTGCCGGGTGATGAGCCCATGTTTGTTATCGCTTCTTCCTGCTGCGGCACCTCTTGGCTTCCCAGAAAGCCCTGGTTCAGGGTTCTGCTTGAAGTGGGTGTGTGGGGTGGGGGTGGGGGTGGCTTAGACCCTTCCCCAAGTCAATCCAGTTGCCCCAAACCCTCTCAGGTGGAAGCGGGGGGGGGGGGGGGGGCGGGGAGACATGCTTGGGCAGCTAGAAAACAACCATGAAGGATGGCTTAGATTCTTTGAAAAAGAACCCTGGGGTCTGGGGTCTGACCTCCTGGCTGGGGTCTGTCCGGGACCCATGTGTGGGGTCTGGGGACCGCCTGCTGCTGTGGGAGCTGGTCCTGTCACCTCTGGCATCCCAGGTTGTCATGCTAGTGAGTCTGGAGCCCTGCTGCCCTCCCAGCACCCCCTGTGCCGGCCCTCAGCTGGGTCGGGTTGTGGAAGGAAAAGTTCCCTTCTGCCCGCAGCCCTCCAGGGGAGGGCAGGAGCTGGGGATGGGGCTACCGGGAGGGGCCAGGCTGGGCTGGACCAGGGCAGGGGGCTCTCTACCTGGAAGAGAAGGGGGAACAGAGGGCTCAGTGGCCATGGAAGCCAGGCTGGGGCTGTGGGCGTCCCAGGGCAGCCCCTGGAAGCCAGGACCTTCTTTGGGCCTGAGAGTGAAGCTGGTCAGCTGCCCTTGTTTCTTCCCTGCAGCCCCGAGACCCGCTCAGAAGGTGAGGGCCCAGCGTGCCCCGGCCTGGGTCTGCTGTGAGTTCTGGGGGCCTCTCCAAGCAGTTCCCCGACCCTGGCTGTGTGCACTAGGCGGGCAGAGACAAGCGGGGTTCATTCAGGCTCTTCCCAAGTGAGGGGCAGGGGAGCAGGAGGCAGACTCAGCTGGATGGAGGTGGGACAAGCCAGGCAGGGGCGGGGGGAGCTAGGCCCTCTTAGACCTGGGCATTCTAGGGCCTCTGGAGACTTCCACCATCCCGGGTTCTTCCCTCTTGGATCCCAAGGGGCTGTGACATCAGTGAGTTCATTTTTTCCTTAAACTCCTCAAAGAGTGGCCCAGCCGGGGGGCTCTGGGCCAGGCCCTTGAGGTCGGCCAGGAGCCCACATCCTTTGCCCTTTGGGTGTAGAGCCCCGCCAGCAGGGCGTCAGCAGGGCGGCCCAGGTGAGGTTGGAGATCGGGGCGAGGCAGGGTTCACGCTCCCCAGGAAGCAATGCCAGGCTTCAGAGCCGGTGAGTGTCTCCTCAAAGACACTGACCGGGTAGCAGAGCCAGCCCCCGCCCGGTGGAGTTCCCGGCCGCTGGTCTCCGAGACGGATGTGCGCAGCTGCCCCGGGCCTTGGCGGCGCCCTGCCCAAGAGCGCGTGCCTCCTGCGAAGGAGCCCGGGCCAAGACGAGCCGGCAGCTGTTCCTGGGACGCAAATGAAAATAGAGAATTAAAAAAATGAATAACTGTTTGTTGAGCCCTCCATGCACATGCTCTGCACTGATCTCTAATCCCCCCAGCGCACCGGCAGAGGAGGTGTCATCCCCTTTAATAGCTTGAGGCTGTGAGAGGATCGACCTGTCAGATCGCACAGCCCGATGGTGGCAGCTGAGAATCAAAGCCAGGGCTCCCGGGCCCCCCAGCACCCCTTCCTCCCGTTACAACAGCTTTTCTCCCCTGAAGGAGGCTGTTTTCCAGGATTCTGGCCTGGGAGGTATTCTGAGGGTGTGTGCCTCCTGTGGGTGACATCAGAAAACCCCGGGGCAGACGGTGACGTCAGAAGTGACACTTATTTTCTCACCCCCTAGGTCTGAGGGTTGGGGGGCTGTGCCCGCCCTGCTCTGACCCTGGGGTCTGTGCGTGGACCTTCCCTGGCAGGGCCTGCAGCACTGCGGCCGTGGCCTTGGGGTCCTCACCGAGGGCCAGTAGGATCCAGGAGCCCCAGGAGCAGGGCTGTGCCCCAGGCATCCCTTCGCACCAGCATCTGGTACAAATGACAGGAGCAAACCAGATACCAACAGGAAGGGAACTGAGCTGATTGTGGGAGCTTGTTGCCTAGCTACCGGCCTGGCCTAGGCAGCTCTGAGTTGGGGGGGGGGGTGTTCACCCTGCTCCCTTCACTGTGGCTGGACCCATAGGTGGCGGTGCCGTGGTTCCTGCCTCCACCTGCCACTGTCTCAGTCCCAGGGAGAGTGGGGCTCAGCAGCAGGCAGGGAGGCTCCCAGACCCAGAGGGACCAGTGGCGGTTTGGGCAGCATCCAGAGCTGCAGTCGGGCCTTCCTCCTTTTCCCCGGGCGGGCAGGAGGCCCATGAATGGGCCCGGGACGCTCCCCTCCCCCGCCCCAGTCTGCAGAGGTGCCAGGGGCTGGGCTCACTGATCAGCCCTCTTCAGGGTGATAGTCTTCTGGCTAAATCAGTTCCTGGATTGGATTTTCCCACAATGTCGCCCTTCTACATGGAGGACACCACGCACAGGATCCCGCCGCCCCAGGAAGGCTGCTGGAGCTGCGCTTTCATGTCCATTAAGCATCTGCCAGGTGTCGGGTGTCACCCCTGCTTTCTTCCAGTGTCTCATCTGGCCCATGCGAGGCAGGGATTGTTCCTCGTTTTCAGAGAAGGAAACTGAGGCCCAGAGGGGCTGGCTCAAGGTCACACAGACCTCATGAGTCCAGGCTGCTTCTCCGGGTGCCTCAGCGCCTCCTGCGGCTTCTGCTGGAGGCCTGTGACTCAGGAGGGCTCAGTCTGCTATCCCCCCCCCCCCCCCCCCCCCCCGCTTCCCGCTTGTCTCCCTCCAATCTGAAGCCCCGTCTCCATCCCCAGGTTCGCTCTCTGTCCTCTCCCTGTAGGACTGTCATGGGACAAAGAAAGGAGACTGGCAACCTTGGCCCAGGCAGGGGCCCGGAGCCAAGGCCTAGAGGGAAATGCCCAGCGAGGGCCTCTCGCCCCTGCTGAAGGCCCCGGCTTCTCAGCCTGGGCATTGCCAGGACCAGCTGGTTGGTGGGCACGACAGGCTTCAGAATGAGGACAGGACTCCCTGGTCCCTCGCCCGCTGCCCTCGGAGCCCAGTGCCAGCAGGCCCAGCCACAGCCCCCCACCTGCCCTGAGGCCCTCCATGTCCTCTGGGTTGGGTTTGTGTTTCTTCTCTGGTTCTGACAGCCCCGCGTTTGCCTCTTGAGCATCTTGTCTCTGGATGGTGAGGTGTTTCCGGCACCGAGCTGGGCGCTTACTGCATGCCCGGCACCGAGCTGGGCGCTTACTGCATGCCCGGCACCGAGCTGGGCGCTTACTGCATGCCCGGCACCGAGCTGGGCGCTTACTGCATGCCCGGCACCGAGCTGGGCGCTTACTGCATGCCCGGCACTGAGCTGGGCGCTTACTGCAACCCCGGCACCGAGCTGGGCTCTTACTGCAACCCCGGCACTGAGCTGGGCGCTTACTGCATCCCCAGCACCGAGCTTGGGCGCTTACTGCATGCCCGGCACCGAGTGGGCGCTTACTGCATCCCCAGCACCGAGCTTGGGCGCTTACTGCATGCCGGCACCCAGCCGGGCTCTAAATATAAAGACCAGTCAGAGTGGCACTTGTTCCTGAAAAGAGCCTGGCCAGGTACAGGTACAGCAGGTGGCTGTCGGGGGAAACTGGAGGCAGGAGATAGTAATGACAGTACAAGATGGATCAGGGGCCGAGTCCCCGTCTTAAAAGTTCACTAGGAGGTGAGAGGAGGAAGGGCTAAGTCCCACCTCCACGCAGCCGGTTGGTGGTGAGGGGGGGGGGGGGGTGTGAGCGCAGGCAGCTTCTCGGAGGAGCTGGGAGGTGAGCCGGGAGGCCTGCAGGATAGCCACTTGGCTCCCTGAAGTGGTTTTTAGAAGGAGGCAGGTTATAAATACGTCTCCAGTGTGGGCAGTGTTTACCCATGCAGTTAGGGGCAAGGAGGCTTCCCGGCCAGGGGACCGGCTTGAACAGGGACAGGACGGCTTGGGACACGGATGGGCACTGTTTGGCCGGATCAGTTCTTGGCCAGTGGTCTGGGCTGGACTGCACGCCTTCTGGGGCCCTCAGGGGTCCCCAGGGGCCCCAACTGCTGCCTTGGCAGGGGGTGGGGTTAGATAGAGGCTGGCTCTGGGCATGGGAGCCAGTGGGCCAGGTTCTGCCTTTGGGGGAGCGGGGGTCTCTTGGCTTGAACCTGGGCCTCGCAGTGCAGGCCCTGCCCCAGGAGCCCAGGCACTCCTCAGAGGTGCCTGGCCTTGCAGACCAGCTCCTCGCCTCCTCTTAGCCGCAGGCTGCCCACTCCCTTCCCGGCACTGCCCGGGCACTAGGATCTTGCTTCCCCGAGAGGCGAGGCTCCACCTCATCCCCACAGGTCTTCCTCTGCAAGTGTCTTCGCACTCCATCCTTAATACAGGTTTTTGGGGCTGAGTCTCCTGATGTGTATCTGTCCATCTGTCCCCCTGGCTCCCCTCCCTGTCCCGCTGATTGTCTTCAATTCCCGATGACGGGTGTCTGTCACCTCCCAACCACCCCTGGCCGGTGCCAGATCCCCCAGACACTCTAGCTCTGTGCTGAGTTGTACAAATATCATTTCTTTTAATCCTCAAAACAGCCCGTAAGGGAAGTACTACTCTCCTCCCCGCCGCACACCAAGCATGCTGTAGCCCCAGGGCCTTTGCACAGCTGCTCCCTCTGCCTCAGCTCCTTTGGGTCGGCTCTAACTCACGCCTCAGTCGCTGCTTAGGTGTCTTGACCTTGGCTTTGAGGCCTTGCCTGACCACCCTGTTTGAAATAGCTCCCCTCCCTCACACTCCTTATTCCCTTTGTCTTTATGTCTCTAAGGCTTTTCCATCTGACATAGTACATGTTTTACTTCTTTGTTTGTGGACCGTCTCCCTCACGAGAGTGTAAGGTCTAAGGGATGGGGGTATCTTGCTTTGTTCTCTGCTGTGCCTCAGCCCCCCGAACAGTGTCTGGCACCAAGTAGGTGCCCAGCTTTCCATTTTACGGACCATGATCAGAGAGGCCAAGAACCTTGCCCAGGGTCTCCCAGGAAGTCAGTGGTGGAGCCCAACTGCACCCGGAAGTGTGTGACTTTACCTTTCCATCCAGGGCAGTTCTAGGGTGAGTTGGTGGAGGAGGCTGGTCACAGGGCTGGCCACTGGCTGAAATAGCTGGGCCTTCATCTGGGGGGCCGGCTGGAAAGACAGCTCTGAGCTGAGGCAGGAGGCCTGGCCTCGGTTTGATCCTGAGAAATGGGCACATGTGGCGACCCTTTACCTGCCCTCAGCTCTGACAGGTGGAGATGAGGGTGGCAGTGACTAGATGGGACAGTTCTGTCTGGAAAAAAAAGCTACATGTGTGCGCACTGCGGGGATCGGGGCAGTTCCTGCTGCCGGGGAGGGTGCTTTGCACTCACCAGGAGGGGTTCTGGGGCAGCAGGGGAGGGAGGCACCAGGCGGCTCCTTGGCCTGGGGGTAAGAGTGGCCCAGGACACAGGGTCCTCCCTCCCTTCCCCCCTCTGCACCCTCTGCCCCGCCCCTTGGCAGCGCTTCCTGAACTTGTTTTTCTGAATCACTAATTACTTCACCCTCCTCCCAGGTGGGCCAAGCTCCGGGCTAACTTCTCCTCAGAGAGCAGGCTCCTGCTCCCCTTGCTTCTCGCAGAGCTGGGTGTGCTGTCCCCACCCCTTGTCCCAACCCCTTTGCTTCTGGGGGGAGGGTGGCGCCAGGACTGTGGGCTCCCAGCTCACATCACCGTGGCCACTGGGCAGCTCATCTCTGGATGCCGCGGGGAGCTCAGAGGTTGGAGCCCTTGGCCCAGTGCAATGCCCCGACAGCCCATTTCTCAGGGGAAGAACACTGAGGCCAGGAAAGGAACTTGACATTTACCTTCATGGGGCAGAGCAGGCAGGAGAAGCTCCAGCAAAGTTGCCAAGAGGGGAAGTGTGTCTGTGGTCTTCCCCCATTCTTCTTCTGTCCCTATTGGATCAGCCCGTCCATATTCAAGTGTAAATAAGATAAGTCTTGCCCTGGCCCGTGTGGCACAGCTGGTTGGAATGTCATCTCCTGCCCTCAAAAGGTCGTGGATTCGATTCCCAGGCAGGGCACATACCTAGGTTGCGGGTTCGATCTCCGGTCAGGTGCGTATGGGAGGCAACTGATCAATGCCCCCCCCCCCAATCAATAAAAAAGTAAATAAGTCTTAGTGTATGACGGGTGTCTGCCCTAAGCCACAGGTCCACAGCCCTAAGAGCTACAGCCATCAGGGAGCTGGCTGGGAGAGTATGGACGATTCAGAGAAGGCTGTCCCAGGCCTGTGAATCGACCCTGGCCGGGAGGTGGTGCAGCTGTGTGACGTTAGGCAAGTCCGTGATGAGGCCTGCTTCCCAGGTCCCTGGGAGGACTGAGGCAATAACACACACAGAGCCCCGCTGTGCCCGGCACGGAACAGACAGCTGATGGATGTACATTCCCAGAGTTCCCTCCTCGCCTGCTCTCGCTCCATTCTCCCAGACCCCTGTGTTCTCTGGTGTTGTGTGCTGCCCCCACTCCCCATCCAGGTGCAGACTCCCAGGGAGGGGAGCAGCTCTGAGGCCTCATTAGACGGCCACGCCATGGCCAGGTGGAAATCAGGCGTGGGGGGGGCCAGGTGGGGGTGGGGCCATGGTCCCCTCTCACCCGCCGGTTGTGGCTCAGCCCTGTGCTCGGGGAGGAGCCCACCCCCACCCACCCAGCCGAGCAGGCAGCACCCTGGGCCCCGGACCCCAGCAACGGCGCCTGAGAGTGGTGAATGGCATCGCATGAATAACAGATGACGGCTCCGTAATTGGTGTTATTACACATGCATTTCATCTCCATTCATAATGGCTGGACACTTAACCCCTCGTGCCTCTGCCGAGCGCGGCTGTCATCACTCTGCGAGATCCCAGCAGCTGTCTGGACCAGCCGCTGCCTCGCTTGGGTCCTCACGGGTGCAGCCGAGTTCTCTTTGGAGCTTAGGGGCCAGGAAATGCCCGTTGGGGGAGAGGGAGGGTGGTTATTCTGGGCAGACCACCCTGTCTCCTGCGGTGGAATATAGGCCTCCTTCAGGCGCTTCCCACTGCCGGGCAGTCGGCCGGGACATCCTAAGGTGAGAGGCAAGAGAGGGGCTTGGACTTGGGGCTTCCGGATGTGGGTCATGGCCGAGCTTCGCAGGCTCAGCCGACAGGAAGAGGCCCAGGGTCACCCCCTCGCCCCCTGCCTCGGGCGCATCCCATCGTGCAGTGGGCCTCCAGATGCAGTGTGCCCAGAGTCCCCTGGGAGGGCATTTAGTGTGCCCGCCCCCCCACACACACACCTTTGTCACTCAGTGGGCTTGGGCGGGGCCTGGGAATTTGCATTTCTAACTGGTTCCCAGGTGATGCTGCGCTGCTGGTCCAGCGCCCCGCTTGGAGGAACGCTGCCGGAAGCCTCGCTGCGCCCGCACGGCCTGCGGACAGGCAGCCGGGCCCGCGAGCGTGTTAGAAATACAGAACCGCGGGTCCTGCCCTCACCCAGAAGCAGGGTGGCACTTTAACAAAGTCCCCGATGGTTTACTCTCCGTACCAGTCTGAGAAGCCTCAGAGCACAGCGGGGTTAGGGACGGGCAGAGCCAGGCAGGGAGCAGGCCCGGCAGCAATAGCTGCTTCCAGCCAAGACCAGCCTTGAGCCCCTAGGCTCCGTGACAGCGACTGGGAAGTATGGCCTTAGAGCAGCCAGGGAGGTGGGGGAGTCCCTGTGAGGAGGGAATTTTAGCTCCTGGCTGTGAACTTTAACCCCACCCCTCGCCATCTTCCTAATGGACCGCCTGGTGACCCACGTACCCCGCCCCCCGGGCTCACCCACCCCTGTCTGACAGCTGCCCCCTCTCTCCACCTCACCCACAGGTGGTGGCCTTTGCCTCTCTCTTCTTCATCCTGGTCTCCATCACCACCTTCTGCCTGGAGACCCACGAGGCCTTCAACATCGACCGCAATGTGACGGAGATCCTCCGCGTGGGGAACACCACGAGCGTGCGCTTCCGGCGGGAGGTGGAGACGGAGCCCATCCTGACGTACATCGAGGGCGTGTGCGTGCTGTGGTTCACCCTGGAGTTCCTGGTGCGCATCGTGTGCTGCCCGGACACGCTGGACTTCGTCAAGAACCTGCTCAACATCATCGACTTCGTGGCCATCCTGCCCTTCTACCTGGAGGTGGGGCTGAGCGGCCTGTCGTCCAAGGCGGCCCGCGACGTGCTGGGCTTCCTGCGGGTGGTGCGCTTCGTGCGCATACTGCGCATCTTCAAGCTCACCCGCCACTTCGTGGGGCTGCGGGTGCTGGGCCACACGCTGCGCGCCAGCACCAACGAGTTCCTGCTGCTCATCATCTTCCTGGCGCTGGGCGTGCTCATCTTCGCCACCATGATCTACTACGCCGAGCGCATCGGCGCCCGGCCCTCCGACCCGCGGGGCAACGACCACACCGACTTCAAGAACATCCCCATCGGCTTCTGGTGGGCCGTGGTCACCATGACGACGCTGGGCTACGGGGACATGTACCCCAAGACGTGGTCGGGCATGCTGGTGGGGGCGCTGTGTGCGCTGGCCGGGGTGCTGACCATCGCCATGCCCGTGCCCGTCATCGTCAACAACTTCGGCATGTACTACTCCCTGGCCATGGCCAAGCAGAAGCTGCCCAAGAAGCGGAAGAAGCACGTCCCGCGTCCGCCCCAGCTCGAGTCCCCCGTCTACTGCAAGTCCGAGGAGACCTCGCCCCGGGACAGCACCTACAGCGACGCCAGCCCCGCGGCCCAGGAAGAGGGTCTGGTGGAGAGGAAGCGGGCAGGTGAGGTTGGCACTGGGGAGGGAAGGCCCCGTTCCCGCAGTGGCCCAGGGAGGCCGCACTGTGCTTGACCGCTCTGGGCTCCCCAGGTGTAACCTGTGCCCTGTGAGGGCCAAGTAGAGGCCGAACCTTTGTATCCTTTGGTTCTCTGATAGCTTCCTGACGGCGGGCCTGGGGGTGAGTGTCCTGCTGAACTTGGGCTGCAGGGGGCGGTACCTGGGCTGTAAGTTAGCAGCCTCGGTCCCTAATCTCGGGGTGCCCACTCTGCTGTGTGCTCTGAGGCCAGTCACCCCCTGTGGGCATAGATTCCGCACCTGTAGAAGGGAACGATATTCATAGCTACCCCCAGACTTCGATGGGACCCAAACAAATGACAGAAAGTCTTTAAAGATCTTTACAACCATCAGGCACCGTCGTTAGCTGGAGAGCAGGGCAGCTGTTCTCCCCAGGTGTGTCCACAGTGAATCCCTTCTCCCCAGCCTCCCAGTCTGCTGTCTCTGGCTAATTAGTGTGATCACGTAACAGCAGTGGGGGGCTGCCTGCTGCTCAGCACAAGCTAGACTGAGTCCTGGGCTCGGGGTTGGACATGGGATGTGGGGAGAGGGAGCCCAGAGGCAGTGGCCAGGCATTGCTGGGAAAGCCTGCAACAGCTGGCGTCCATCCGGGGGCCCAAGGGCCTGAACCTCGGGCTTCAAGGATGGGAGGGGCCCCTAGGAAAGCCCGCCCCCACCTGAGTCAGGAGATGGGAGAGGAGATTGGCTCAGCCTTGGCACTGGAGTCAGGTCAGGAATGGAACCTCGCTGTTGGGAATGGGGTGGGCTCCTAAGGGAAGCTGGGATTCCCGGTGTGGGGGACCGCTGGGGGGAGGCCGTCGGGGAGCTGGGGGGAGGCCGTCGGGGAGCTGGGGGAGGCCGTCGGGGAGCTGGGGGGGAGGCCGTCGGGGAGCTGGGGGGAGGCCATCGGGGAGCTGGGGGAGGCCAGGACACTGAGGTAGCAGCTCCTGGCTAGGCTTGTGGGCAGTGTGGGACTCATCCCCCAGGACAGGTGCCTGATTTGGGACACGCACCTGTGGTCTGTTGGGGGACACGCACCTGTGGCCCGTTGGGGACACGCGCCTGTGGCCCGTTGGGGGACACGCACCTGTGGTCTGTTGGGGGACACGCACCTGTGGCCCGTTGGGAGACACGCACCTGTGGCCCGTTGGGGGACACGCACCTGTGGCCTGATGGGGGACACGCACCTGTGGCCTGATGGGGGACACGCACCCGTGGCCCGATGGGGGACACGCACCTGTGGCCTGTTGGGAGACACGCACCTGTGGCCCGTTGGGGACACGCGCCTGTGGCCTGTTGGGGACACGCGCCTGTGGCCTGTTGGGGGTGCCCATCACACATGCTGAAACCACTCATTGCCTGGGGCCCTCCAGGCACCTGGGTCTCCCGTAGACCTTGATGGAACAGCACCCACTGGGCTCCCCTCCGTTCCCCGCCAAAGTGGTACCCTCCCCGGCCCTTGAGTATCAATCTCCAGTCCGTGTTCCAGGGAACTGGAGCTGTACCCCAGGCCCTTTCAGGGCTCAGAGGGAACCTGACACCACAGTGTGCACGTCCGTAGGCCAGCCGCCGGCACACACTAACCAATGCCCTTCGGCCGTGCCGTAGCCCGGCCCTCACTGCTTGGCCACAGTCAGGGCTTTACTGGCAATGCCAGGGCCACCGCCTTCAGACCCAGCGGCCCCCCTTCTGCGGATCCAGGGCCCAGCTTCACCCGGGCTGCGGCCTGGCCGGGCAGGAGCCGGGTGAAGAACCCACAGCAGTGGGAGCTGAATTGGAGCCTCTTGCCCCACCAGGGTCCCCAGACACAGGGGAGCCCCGAGCACAGGGAGCTCTGAATCCTTCAGGCGCTCGACTCCAGCTTGGACGCCTGGTGAACAAGAGTAACCGCCTTCGGGTGGTCGGGGCAGACAGCTGGGAGCGCCACTCTCCTGGCGTAGCCCTGGCAGTGCCACCTGCACCCGACAAGCCAGGTGGTCTCCGAGGGGATCCAAGCCCATCAGGTGCAGCCTGAGCCAGACCCAAGGAGGAAGCAGTCCGCCGCCTGGGGGGAGTGGCGGGAGAGGCAATCTCGCGGGGCAGCAGACTCAGGGAGTCCTTGCTTAGGGCATCTGTGGCCCATCTCCCAGGAAAGACGCTAGGCCAAGGCTGGGGAGGAAGCCAGCACCTGCCCCCTGCCCCCAGGACAGGCCCACTCCCTGGCCCCTCCCCAGGGTGGAGGAGTGACCCCAGGTGACCAGGGAGGAAGGCCCGGGCAGCACCGAGCACGTCCTTTCTGTCTCACCCCCTAGATTCCAAGCAGAACGGAGACGCCAACGCCATGCTGTCGGATGAGGAGGGGGCGGGCCTCACCCAGCCCCTGGCCTCTGCCCCGACCCCCACGCCGGAAGAGCGCCGGGCCCTGCGCCGGTCCGGCACCCGAGACAGAAACAAGAAGGCGGCCGCCTGCTTCCTGCTCAGCGCCGGGGACTATGCCTGCGCCGACGGGAGTGTCCGGAAAGGTATGGCTCCCCAGGCTGGGCAGGTGGGGGCCCCCCAGTGTCCCCCACAAAACTTGAAGCCCCCTCCTCCCCCGAGGCCATGGCCATCATCTCCTCTTCCCTGGATGCACCCCAACTTTTAGGATGGGTACCCTGACCTTCCAGTCCGATTTCCTTAGAAAGGCCCGCAGCATCCCCAGGAGGTACACATGGCCCGTACCCCAGTGCCCACAGGGAACACAAGCGCTGACTGGGAGCAGGGGTCCCTGCCCCTCCCCTCCATCCTGTCACTTCTCTTCCGCTGGTGCCTGCTATGACCTGCAGGCCTGGCTTCCCAGGGTCACTGCCTGCCTTTCCCTTGGCCTCCCTTAGACCCAGCTAAGGCTCCCCCAAGTAAGTAGTCCCCATAACACTCAGGAGTCGGGGGGAGAACGGGGTGCCGGTGTGAGGTCCCCTGGCACAGGCCCACCTCCTCCGTCCTGCCTTTTGGGTGCCTGGAGCCCAGAGGGGCGGACCCAGCTCTGCAGCCCCAGATGTGACTTAAGTAGAGCCAGAGGGTGACAGGGAGGGGGAGGCTGGAGTGGGGGTGGGGGGCAGCGTAGAGCTCCCCTCCTAGGTGTGTTCTGAAGGGCTGGAAGTGCACAGAGGCCGCCATGGCCTCCCGTCAGGAAGGCTGCAGCACCATCAGCAGGCCCCAGACCCACACAGGCCCTGGCAGAAGTGGGGGTGGAGCTGGGGCTCCTGGCCTGCGGGGGGCGGGAGTGATGAAGGGTGGTCCGGTCAGCAGTGGCTGGGGACCAGGGGTCTCAGGTCCAGGTGCTGCTGCCCGGCCCTGGTCACTGTGTGTGTGTGTCTGTCTGTCTGTCTGTCTTCCCTGTCCCGTGGCCCAACCTCCCTACACGCCCTGCCTAGTTTCAGAATCAACCCTGATCCCCCCTAACAAAGCCGTGCCCTGGTTCTCGGGCCGCTTCTTACCCAGCCCTCCTCCGACCTAATCCCCCCAACACTTCTCACTGTCCCCAAACCCCAGACCAGGGAGGCAGGGAAAGTGCCTGCTGCAGGAATAGCCTGTCCCCCCAAGGATGTCCCCTGTCCTGTCCAGCCCACATGGCCTCCAGAGCCACCTTCCCAGTCCCTGTTCCCGGCCCTCCCAGCACCGCTGTTCCCACAGGGACCCTGGGGTGCCCTGACCCTCACCAGGCCCCGAGGGGTGGATGTCAGCGTAAGTCCTGTTGGGCCTCAGAAACAGGAGCGACCTGGCAACTGGAAGGAGATGGCCCGGATGGCTGTGCTCAGCCCGCGGCACCCTCTCCTGTGTGCCTGCGGTCGCCCCTGGCTCTTGCGCGCCCCAATCCTCTGGCCCTGGAAGTGCCTCCCCCTGCTCCCCACCCCAGCAGACAGTGGCTTCCACTGTGTCCTGGTCAGACCCAGATGCTACTCTGGCTGCAGCTCACAAAGTGGCCAGCCCAGAAGATGAGGACAGGCACCCACCTCACGGAGGACTTGAGCACCCCTGCTTTCACCCCAGTGTTGTGAGGGGCTCAGTGGAAGGAACGGACTGGAGGAGGGACCGGGAGGTATGGGGAGCAGGTGGCCCTGGGGAAGGCGTCGCACTGCGCGCGCAGGGCCTGCGTCCCACCCCTGCATCTCTGGGGCTCCGGGGACCGGCTGCTCTGTCTTCAAGATGCCTCCACACTGCTTCTTGGCAACAAGCGTGTAACTCAGCCAATTAGAGTGACCTGCGAGCGGGAACAGGTGGGTTGCCAGGAAACAGGCCGTGCCGTGCCGTGCGCTCTCGGCAACTTTCCCCTGCGCCGGCCCGCGGCTCTCACTTCTCCGCGCCGGGCTCACGTAGGACCAGGAGAGAGCGGACAGGCCTCCTCCTGCCACGCAGGCCCCACGGTGAGCCTGTCGCTGCCCTGGCATCAGAGTGAGGACGGCCTGGACGTGGCGGTGCCTCCCAGGGCTTCTGAAAGGGGGGCGCTGAATCTTCACGCACCTGGAGGGGAACTTAGCTGGGGCCAGCGCAGGGCAGAGGTCAGCTGGGTGTGTGGCCCTGGAGTCCACCCTCAGGGGACCAGGGAGCCTTCCTTGGGGAGGCCAGCCCCTCCACCCGGCTGGGCCGCCTGCCCTGCAGGGTCCCCTGGAGTTCGAGGCCGTGGAGCCGCTCCGGTGAGCAGCGCGCCCTCTGACCTGTGCCTTTTCTCTACCAAGGCCGTGAAAAGTCCAGGAGTCTAAGCAACATAGCCGCAGCAGCCGGAGCCAGTCTGGGGCTGTCTCCATTGGCACCCCGATACAGCTCGCCCTACTCTCCAAGAAAGCTCCTGCTCTCCCTCCCTCCGCACCCCCTCACCAGCCCGCCGCCTGGACACTCGGCCCCTTAGCTGCACCGGCCCTCCCGCCCCTGGGCCCGCACACACAGGGAGCCACTCTCGTGCCCGCCGGCCCGCTCCTGGGGCCTCAGGGAGCCGGGTGGATGCAGGAGAATCCAGGCCCCTGAGCCTCTCCCCACAGCACCCCGCTCCCCACGATGCTCAGGTTTGGGTCCGAGGGCCGAGGAGATCACTCTCAGGGCCCCCCATCCTGAGCGGGAGGGGCGGCACCCCCAGGACCTGTGTCTCTGAGTCCTGCCCTCCCCCACACAGTCCCACCTTAACCAAATACATCTCCATTCCTCGGGGCCTTCAACCAGTAACCAAACAGCTGGCAACCAGTGTCTCTGTCTGTCTGTCTGTCTGTCCATCCCACACCCAGAGCAGCAAGGACTAAGGCTGTCGCATGAGCATCTCTGCTGTGGCCGGGGGTGCGGGGAGGCCCTCCCCCCCGGGGGACACCCACACCCCATCTGCGCCCCCGCCTCGGCCCCTCTCTCCACGCTGCTTTCCTCTGCTTCCAAGCTGTTGCCTCCCCTCCCCCTCAGCGCCTCACTGCCAGCCCAGCCCCTGCCCGCCTCGCTCCCACCAGCCTTGCGCTCCGTGTTGCTGCCAGAACCGGAGACTCATCTAATTTCTCTAATTAAGTGTATTCATTTACCTAACGAGCCAGGAGCACAACAGGGTTGTAAGTCACTGTGAGCAGGGCTGCACCTTGGCAGGGACAGCTGAGGGGTAGTGGGGGGACAGAGCTACCCTGCCCGCCACTCAGGCAGGGGCCACCCTGGACTGCCCGGGGAGGAGGGGCAGGGGGGGAGCCGAGCCGCAGGGCCCGTCCCCAGCAGTGGGCAGAGCAAGGCCCTCAGGCCGGCCCTCCACAGCCAGGGCCAGCCCAGGGCTCCCTGTTCCACCTGATGGGAATGAGAGCTGACAGGGGAGCCGTGCGCCTGGCAATTTTTAGAGTCAGATTATGCAACTTGGTTGCGGGAGTGACTAAGAAGGGCCGCGTCTGCTGCCTCCAGGGTGGGCAGGGATGGGTGTGGCAGGACTGGGAGCCAAGGTCAGCTCGCTCCGGACCGGGAGCACCCCCTTGGCGTCTCCAGCCCTGGGCAGGCTCGGGGTGTGCCTTCCAGAAGGTCTGTTCCTTGTGGGGGCTGGGAGAGCCCAGCCCTGCTGTGGTCTCGGGGAGCCGCCTGCCACTGGCTCTCACTGGCTCTCCCCTAAGAGTGGAGAAGACACAGGGGACCCATGGGACCACCCTTAAGAGGGAGCAGGTCCCTTTCAGGGACAGGGACAGGGACCGGACAGCCCTGGGCTCTGGATGGAGACGCCAGGGACCTTCTCCCTCGGGGCCGGGTGCGAGGGCCCAGCTGCTCCTTCACGGGGACGGGCTGGTCCTGCCCCGCAGGGCTCCCTGGCACCTGGCCCCCGGGCCTGGCTCTGCCGGGGACGTGACGAGCTGGGCGTCCGGTTTAGCACGGGCGCCGCGGCTATTTTCTCCTCTGCCTGGCGCTTCTGGTTCAGGGAGCTGAGGCGGCTATTTCTGTGGCGGCCGTCCCCTGAGTTGTCAGGAGCCCAAGTTTCCACGGCACCCACCGCCCCCTTTCCTCCCACGGGGATGGGCATGCTCACGGCGCCCCGGTGGTGGGCACAGATGTCCCTGGGCGACGGGAGGCAGGAGTGCCAGGCTGGAGCCCCTAGTGCCTTGGGAGAGGGGCTCCCCCACGTCCCTCCCGGCCCCCTGGCTTCTGTAGGGGAGACCCTGACCCAGCGCCTGGCCAATGGAGAGCCGCGCAGGTGTCTGCCCCTCTCGCTCTCAGCACCTCAGCCTCCGGGGGCCCTGGGGAAGGCAAAGCAGGTTCTGGAGCCGACAGAGACCCTGGGGACAGGGGGGGGGGGGGGCGGGGCGGCAGGCGGCTGCCTGCAAGGCCCCAGGCTGGCCCAGGCTCGGGCCTCCCCGCTCCCGGGAAGGCTCTCCTCGCCCTTCCCCCACAGTCTGACAGCCCAGTGCACTTCACCTTGGATCTTGACTTGGACTGTACCCGGTCCTTGGCTTCTAGAAGCCTCTCCTCCACAGCCGGGCCCAGCCTCTCCCACTGAGCAGCCGGGGAGCAGCCTGGGCGTGAACCTCACGTTCAGTTTGTACAGTTTGTGTCGGGGCTGGAGGCCACTTCTCAGCCCCAGGGCTTCTGAGAGGCGAGGCTGTGAGCTGGGACCAGCCAGGTTTGTTTTCTCAACAAGGATGGAGCCCTCCTGGTCAGCATTCAGCCTCCAGCCCGGGGACTCCACCTGCCTGATGGAGGAGGGGGGCTGGGTATGCCATGGCTGAGCCCCTGGAACAATGGGCGGGCCCCAGGTGGTGGTGGCAGATGGAGCCGGGTGGGGAGGGGAGGGGGGAGCCCGAGTGGGCAGGCAGCAGCCGGCTGCTGGCTGGGGGTGACAGGCCAAGCAGGAGCGTCCCCCCTGCCTTGTGCCGGGCTGCAGAGCTGGGTCCCTCTCTCCTGGGCCAGTGGTCCCACTGTCCCGAGCAGGTGTGGAGCTGAGCCATAGCATCACCCGGGAGGCAGAAGGGTGGTGAAGGGACTCACCCCGGACCCTGACCCATCCCTGCCCTTCCGGGCCCCTGAGCCCTGTGTCCCCACGCTGTCCAGCTCTGCCCCTGGCCTGCTCTCTAGCCCACCGCCTCCTCGGCAGCTGCCTTCCTCCTAACGTCTCCTTCTTTGTGTCTCCCTTTCTTTTGCTGAACTCCTTGCCCTCCGCCCCCTGAAGGCCATGTTGAGCCGAAAGTGTGCGTCCCAGTGTCTCACACCTGTGCTCTTTAACACAGAGACCTGCCAAGACGCTCTCTCGTCCAACTATGCCCAGGCCGAAGTCCTCACCCTCTCTTAACGCGGCAGCAACGTGAGAGAGACAGGCAGACAGACAGAAAGCCAGAGGCTTAGGGGAACTCTGGAACCCAGGCAAGGACCTTTCGCTGGGCAAGACCTGTTGGCACAGGACTGATGGAAAACCTCCCGTCCGACCCCTGGGGCCCGGAGCCATCCGGGTCCGACGTTTTGTCCTGTTGTGATTGAAGAGATATATATGCACATATAGCATCTATATTCATACATACTGTACTCGTGTGTGTAGTGCACGTGCTTTTGGTGGTCTGTCTTCGTCAGGCCGTCTCCCCAAGCCCTCGCCCCTCCCCCAGCCCCCCCCTTCCCTTCACTGATTCCCTGTTGGCGTTGTACGTGCCGCGTGTGGAATGTCCCAGGAAAAGTTGCCTGGGAGCCGCCCGTCCAGCTGGGTGGGCCCAGGCTAGACTCTCCCTGTGGGGGTGTTTCCCTGTGGGCCGGTGGCCTGTGCCAGGCCAGGCTGCCCCCGGGTCACTGCCCCACCAGCCCCACCCCACCCCAGATTGGGGTTCTACCTCCCACCCCACGCCCCAGTTGTGGGGGGACTTCCAGGGGCTTCTCTGCAGCTTCTTTCACCCCTGCCCCCCTTCCCTGTGTCCTTGACTGAGGGGGCATTTTGGGTTTTTTTAATCTTTGGTTTTTCTGTCTCCCTCGTCCGTTTGTTTTCAATGATGCTGCCGGGCAGACAGGCAGGGAAGGGGCCTGTCTGCCCACCGGGCTCAGGGGTCTGAGAAGGGGGAAGCTTCGGGCGAGTGGAGACCAGTTGCAATACTGTACTTCCTGGCCGGTGGCCAGAGGATGCGTGCAATAGCGGAGGCCGGGTGACCCCTTCGACCTTGGCCTCTGCCCCTCCCTCGGCTCTCCCTCCGCACTCCTCGCCCGCCCCGCCCTTCCCCGGCGTTGGTCCTGGTGTTGGTCCTTTTCTAAAGCTGCCCCCTCCTGTGTGTCTGAGGCAAGCCTAGGCCAGGGCCCTGTCACCCTGTCTGCATGCCTTCGACTGTCATGCTGTGCTCGACCCTCAATAAAGACATCTGGAGCGTCCAGCTGCTCCTGCGTGTGAGCGGCCGCCTCCGCCTCTCCTTTCCGGCTCTGTGTCTGTGGGGACCCCCCTGGGGTCCCACCCCAACACCTGAGAAATGCGACGCCCTCCGCGTAACCCCGCCCCCACGGGCACCATCCATTCAGAGCGAGACACTGGTGCTCAGAGGGGAAGCGTGAGCTGCCCACGGTCACACCCTGAGCCTCCCCTGCCTCCCAGGCGGGTTCTGGGTCCCCCTGCCACGGGCCTCCCGCCGCCCCTGGAAGAAGAGGCCGTTGGTTAGGCCGCCCCTGTGTCCCTGCGTGTTTGTGGAGGGCCTCCCTCCCCCCGAAGTCGCACCACCTTATGTGGGCCAGGGCCCTGGGGATGCCACAGCCGTGCGCAGCCTGGATGGCTGGTGAACCGAGGCCGGCAAGTGGCTGGTGGCACAGCCGGGACCGCTTAGGGCCCAGAGAGGGTGGGGCGGTGGGAAGTGTCGGGGCCGCCCCTCACTGTCACATCGGGGCACAGGCAGGGCTGGCTTCACGGGCCTGTGGCCTGGGCAGTTGCTCAAAAGGGCCCGACGCTTGACTTCATCTCAGCTGCCGCTGACTTGACGTGACTCATGGCTCTGAAGGGCCCTGGGCTTGCGTTTCGCACTGGGCCCTGTGAATTACGCAGCCAGGTCTGGGTGTGTGTTTGTTCTCCTTGCTCTTTTTTTTTTTATATGTTTTTATTGATTTCAGAGAGAGGAAGGGAGAGGGAGAGAAACATTAATGATGAGAGAAGCATCCTGCCTCTTGCACGCCCCCCACTGGGGACTGAGCCTGAAAGTGGGCATGTACCCTGACCAGGAATCAAACTGTGAGCTCCTGGTTCAGGGGCTGACGCTCAACCACTGAGCCACACCAGCCTGGCTGGTCCCCTTTCTCTTGTCTTACTTCTTCCTCCTACTCCAGGCATAATCGAGTCATAGGGCCTCGGTTTAAAGTCTGCACCTGCCACTCACTAGGTGAGCCGTCTGGGACAACCTCGCTGACCCTCAGTTTCCCTGTCTGTAGAATGGGGACAATGGTAGCCCCTACTCCAGAGACAGCAGCGAGCGGAAAGACCTGGAGTCTCTGTAGGACATGCGGTCGATGCAGACAGCATCCGTTCCTGCCCCACCCTTCTCCTGTAGCTCTCGGGCTTTCTCCCCAGGTTTCTGCCGTCTGCACCCAGACACACCGACAGAGGACAGAGCAGCCGGGTAAGGACTGAGGACACGGCCGGCCGAGGGGAGGGGAGGGAAGATGCGAATGCGAGGGAAGCCTGTTCCTGAAGCGAAAGGGAGAATTGGGCTTGGAGCCTGGGCCGCAGAGGCAAAGCATGGCAGGCGGCCAGTTGTCAATTAAAGATAAGATCGCTCCTCGGCTGTGGAGGGCAAGTCGGGGCTTTGACCTTCCCCCTCTCCCCCCAGACAGGAGAAGCCATTTGCAGCCGGCTCCGCTGGGCCAGCCATAATGGGGTGGGAAGCGCTGCTGGCTCCGTGACGTCACACACCAGGGCCCACGTCCGAGACGGCTGGGTCTGTGTATATAGATCATGTGGCACCATTTCATGACGGGCAGAGAACCCAGCGAGCAGCCCGGGTACCAGCTGCCAGGTGGTCCTGAGGGGACCCGAGGGGATGCAGCTGGGGTCCCCGTGGCCCCTGGAGGGGAGCGGCGCCAGGCGCCAGAGGGCGGAGAGCTCAGTGAGGAGCCGGGGAGCCCCTCCTCCCACCTTCCAGAAACTGCAGGCAGGTCTGTCCGGGGGACCAGGCTGGGCTTCCTCTGGTCCAGAAGCTGGTGGGGAGCCGAGGGAGGGAGCTGGTTCAAGAATGGGGCGCTGATGACGGAGACTGACTTCGGTGGTCAGAGGGACTCGGGTTCGAGTCCTGGCTCCATCACTCCTTACGTGTGTGGCCTTGGGCTGACTACCGATGCTGTGCGAGCCTCTGTTTCCTCATCTGTGAAATGGGAGTAACGATGCTGTGGACGTCTGGAGCCGTTGGGAGAGGTCAGTGAGGCCGGAGCACAGCACCCATTCATCATCATCATCATCATCATCATCGCTTACGGATGTGGGAGGTGGGGGGACAGCTCACCCTGATAACACACGACCAGTTTGGGGGACGGCCTCGCCTTTCGGATCGGTGCTGTGACTTCGCCTCATGGTGGTGACGCCCTCCTCTGGCGAAGGAGCGAGACCCAGGGTGGTAACGGCCGGCAGCTGCCGCTGGGTGCTGGGCAGGGCCGCCGATGCTCCTGAAAATGCACTCACGGCTGGTGGTGTCGTCATCCGTGCTCCAGAGGAGAGAACAGCACAGCAACGTCAGTTCACTTCTCCAGGGTCACACAGCACAGACGTGGCGACGCTGGGACCGAACCCAAGGAGTCTGGCTCTCTGGGCCCAACGCTTAGCTGCCGTCTGAACAGACAGACGGACGGAGCACCTACGTCCTAACCCCGAGGGCAGGGGCGTGTGCTTTTTCACGTTTTTATGTTCTCACCACCCGTCGATTCTCATAGCATAGGTGTTGTTTTCCCGGTTTGTAGAAAAGAAACGGAGGCTTGAGGAAGTGAGGGATCTGATCGTGTCGCTGCCCCGCCCCTCACATGAGGTCGAGAAGGCTTCCTGGATCGGTTAGCGGGAGGTAACACCCCGCTCAGGGGGCCCTTGCTTCTTCCTTCTGAGTCTTATCGTCTGTGCTCAGGAGCGGATGGCCTGTGGGGACCTGTCTGGGAACCAAGTTAGACGACTCGGTGCAAAGGTGACCCCCACCTTCAGGCCCTTGGAGGGCACGCGAGGGGGAGGGGGTTCAGAGACTCCCTGGTCCCAGAGAGCAGACCCGGCCCCGCAGGTGGAAATGTGCGGGAGGCGGACGGCGTTCAGCGAGGAGCCTGCTGTGGCCCTGGCCGTGGCCGTCTGACACGTGGTGTCG